ATGAATACCTGATTGATGCGATTGTCATGGAAACGTTCCCTGGGCAAGACTCATTTATTTGTTGATTATTCTTAGTTGAAATAATTCAAAATAATCACTGTTGTAAATTAGACCTGGAAGTGCTGTATTTGCCCTATTAGAAGTATATCTCTAATTACAACACATTTACACCAAAAAATGTATTTATTGAATTTTAGATCATTTATAGCACGACTTATGTATACACACACCTCTGTGATTTTCTAAAAATATCATGCTTCATGTATTTCGGTAATCGATAAGACGCTGCTAAGAACGTAATGGAAACAAGAACAAAATAAACACAGAAATAAATGAAATGTTTTCTTGACATCAGCAATGATAATGTTTCCTATCATATATACATTGTACCATATAATGATTGTGGGAGAGAAATCTCAGAAGCAAAATTTATATACAAATTACAGGACTTTTTTTTTCAATTTCCAAGCTTTCTAACTGTTGACATGGCAACAGCAGATCTAGCCTATCACAATTTGATCTTGCATGTATATTGTAACTGGAGCACAGTATGAAATTAATGATGCAATAAAAAAGAAATGAACAAAGTTTTTGTTATGATTCATTCAAATTTTTATGTAAAGCACTGTCTGTTGTAGCTTGCTTCATCTGACACACGTCCTAGACACGCCAGTCATAATATTAATCTTGGTAATATCATATTTGGAACAGATGTTGCGATTACGAAAGGATTAAATTTTGATATTACTCTCACCCTGGTGGTCTCAACCTGTTGGTTAGTCAGAATTGTTTTCCAACTCATTATGTGAATCAAAAATGCCAGGAATAAAACACCCTGCCAGACAAATAGTATATTTGTCTATATTTTACTGTGATATTATTTTTAACTAGCTTTGACAATTTGAGGCGGCCCCTTATGTTGCCGAAAAAAATCAAGGTTTTACAAATCCCTAATCACTATGTAGTATTTCCATGGTGATAATTTGTTTTATTATGATAAGATATAGTCAAACAGATTAGGTTTTGTGAGGAGTATAAGTTTACAATTCATACACCTAGTTATTTAGGCAGTTAGAAACCTGATTTGGGAAAACGTGGTTTTTTGATCCCAGCCATCAGTGACAGATCACTTTGATAGATTTCAAACCACATTTTCGTGATTGACAGCGAGGGAGATGATTAACAACCGCTCTCCTGTTTCATCGTAATTTTGTGTTACAATATGGATGTAATTTGATTACCACTGTCATAGGATGAACCAATTGAGAAGGAATTGGGTGAAACCATTTGGAATGAAGGGAGCATTTTATCTTTGATTAGGGGGCAGGCATATTTAGGAAGTATTTGTTTTCTTTTTTGACTGGAAAAAAAGTTAAAATGTAGATTTATTTGAACATAACTGAATACATTTTAAAAACTTGAATTTATTTTTACAGTTATGTTACCCTTTGAGTGCCAAAACAGCATATTTGTTACTTTCCATAAAATAAATAAATATGATTTTCCCCCCAGATTTTAAAAAAAAAAATCCGTAGCCAATGTAAATTTTTTTTAGTGTGAAAAATTATTGTTTTCAAGGGTTAAATAGTTTACATAGAAATTGTTAGGATTACTCTTTGATTTTAACACCCATGTTTGTGCTGCCATGTGTTGAAATAATCCGGCTATATCATGAGTGCGACAATACGTGACAGGACTATGTGATCTTCTTCTTATCATAAAGGCATTGTGTCAATTTGATGTGTAATCATCCAGGCCTGGTTCAATATATACATATTTCTATTGCTATATACTGAAAAAAATGTGTATTTCTAAAGATGCAATAAACAATTATTATTATTAAGCATGTGGTAACCCCCCCCCCCCTCCCCCCAGTGTACAGTGATTTTTGGCCTCCCCTCAGTTCCAGTGAACTTGTCATCGCGACTTTAAGACCAGTCCCAGTGAACTTTTCACTGCGGACCTTAAGACCAGTTCCAGTGAACTTTTCACTGTGGACCTTAAGACCAGTACAAGTGAACTTTTCATTGCCGACCTTAAGACCAGTACAAGTGAACTTTTCACTGCCGACCCTAAGACCAGTCCCAGTGAACTTTTCACTGCGGACCTTAAGACCAGTTCCAGTGAACTTTTCACTGCGGACCTTAAGACCAGTACAAGTGAACTTTTCACTGCCGACCTTAAGACCAGTACAAGTGAACTTTTCACTGCCGACCCTAAGACCAGTACCAGTGAACGTGTCACTGCGGACCCT